ACACAAAAAAAGTATAAAAGAGGCAGACTGACTTTATGAAAAAATATTTTAGAAGGGTGCTCGGCCCGCAGAAACCGGTAGATCAAGAGCCCTCCCAGGAAACTTCCCCCCTCTTTCCAAAAAAGGCATTGAATTCATACCAATTAAACGGAGGTATTAACACCTTAAGGCTCAATACATTCTTTATTTGACAATTTCACTAGCACTAACTTATTACAAAATTATTAAACCAATGCATCCGACTGAGGCTTGTTTAGGCACAACGCTAACGTTACGTTGCCATATGATAGTAATTGGGTCAAAAGAAACCTCAAGTGTAAAGACAATTTCTTTGACACCGTTACCCAGTTACCCTGGTCAACTTTATAAACAGACACGCCACGTCACGTGTGACCAATAAAGCATTTGAATACCTATTTCTTTGTAACGTCGGAGATTGAAATTGTGGATGTCTCTCGGAAACGCGCTAAAAGTCACGAATTAACGGACAAATACCTAAATCACTGACAGAGCAAATATTGTTCAGATGTGTAAAATTTTTCCCAAATAATTGAAAAATCCATTCGTATTTTCAAGTCCACTACTGGTCACGCATAACGGGGCAAAGTTGTCCCAAGTGAGTGGGTTATTTCTATTAGAGCTTTGGTCAACAATACCCTAGTCTCCTTCGCAGGAGACTAACAATACCCTAGCGCTATGGTGACCCAAGGGCTCAGGTGGGGCTACCCCAGCACGGGGTAACTATATCTGCCTTGTAATCACGCAGTATGAAAAACGAAGAAATGCACGAGCCCTGTAAGTTGCTATTGTAACCCTGGCACTAGGGTTAGCCTCCCTTCGTAGTAAAAAGACCCTAATAATTTTGGCAGTGTAAGCAACTTAAAATATGAGCAAAAAAGTGTCTAGAAAGTAGTTTGCATTTCTGTACAAACAGTTACTTTAAATTCATTACATGACTGTCTAATATCTTTCATACAATTAATACTAAATATCAGTTATCATTTTATCACATTAAATTTGACAGTCAATTGCATCCCTCGGCGATCTTTGGGTAGCTCTTTGCAATATACCTGTATATTAAAGCTTTCAGGATCATTCTCAGCAGCTAGACACAGAACATTACATAAAAACAGTAACAGAATATAACATAGAGTACCTTGTATATTCCACTCCATCAAAATTACCCTATTTTAGTTGCTGTGTCACTAAATAACCACTGAGTGAAATCAAAATAGTTCATTCCGAAGAAACCTTACGAACGCCTTCTTTAAAACTTACAAAGATCTAGTAAGTGTTTTTCTAACAGTCCTTACAAAAGCTTTGTCGGTTGTATTTGTCTTTTGTGTATGACTTACATGAGGCTTTTGTAAGATACTTGCACTACGTGTAAGAAGACTTACAGAAGGCTTGTGTGAGAATCATTCCACAAGGCTTGTGTAAGATACTTACAGAACGCGTAAGAAGGCTTACAGAAGCTTGTGTAAGGATAGTATTCCCACACATATTGCACACAATAGGTAAAATAAAAGCAGGAAACGCAAGTTTCCATGCAGTGATTCAGGTAAAATTTTGCTCAAAATTGGAAAATCCATTCGAATTTTCAAATCTACTACTAGTCACACATAACGGAGCAAAGTCCCTGGCGCTATGGTGACCCAAGGGTTCAGATGGGGTTACCCCAGCACAGTTTAACCCTATCTGCCTTGCAATCAGGCTGTATGAAAATTAACGAAGAATTGCACGGGGTGCTAGGGTAACCCTGTTCCTATGGTAACCGTGGCACTAGGGTTACCTTCCCTCGTCATTAAACAGACCCTAATATAGGCAGCCAAAGCAACTTAAAATATGAGAAAAAACTTTTTACAAAGTACTTAACATTTCTTTTTTGTACAAATTGTTACTTAAAGTCGTTACATGATTGTTTAATGATCTCTATCATACAATTAATACTAACTTTCAGTTCTTATTTCATCACATTATGAGCATCTTGTATATTGAAATTAAAATATGACACGCGATCTATCCTATTTTGTCCTATTCACACAGCATTTAATTCATTTCTGCAAAAATTGCTTTGCTTAATTTTCAAACATTAATTTGACAGTTCTACCTAAATTGTACCGCATGTAAGAGTTTTTTAGGCAAACGTTTCTTTGACGTAAATAGGGCATTAGATTTACGGGTATGAAAAAACTCAAACTCTTAGCGGGAATTCGATGCAAAAACAGATAAAAGGTTTCTTTATACGCATGCCCCCATTTGCACTAAAGCTTAAATAAGTGTAAAAGCTCCTACTATATTTATTTACTTTATAATAGTGTTTTTCAGCAGGAAATATTCAACAGATTTCTATGACTTCTGCTCTGGCTGGACATAATTCTCTCTTCGACGGAAATGGTCTCGCCAGCATTCGGCTAATGGTAAGCGCCTTAAGGTCCAATAGTAGTTTGGTTGCTGGAGCCGCCCTAAGAGAAAATGCTTTCTACACTTCGTGTCAGACTCTTTTATGCGCCAACACAATGGAATAGTGTGCACACTAGCTACTTTAAAACGCAATTTAAAGACCCCCTTTTTTTTCATCGATTATTTGATATTTCAATACGCTCCTATTCTATCCTATTTTAAATCATATAAGTCAATTATTGCAAACGTCTAGTGACCATTTTTAAGTAAATAGCGGCATAGCTATTGTTATTACATGTATTGATTATTTGCCAAAGAAAGTTCCAACTTGTTAGGTGAAAGGTGACTTCACTTTGATAATCATGATGCTGTTCGATGTTACCTGAATTTAAGGGAGCTCCCACACCGATTTTTTTCGTTGGTTACCGTAGCAACCGCAATGTAAAAGCTGTTGTTGAAAGCAAGGTCTTTTACCCCAAAATCTGATCAGACGATTTCTGAGGAAATTTTAAGTCCTCACAAAAGTTTGTTTGAAAAGGTGAAGTAACAAAAAAGAGATTGCCAAAGCGTTTTGAAAGTTTGCCTTACGTACCGCAACTAGCAAAACAAAAGATGTCATAACTGAGCCTCCTCAAGTTCCGATCTTAATATATTAGCTTGAACAGCGTGTTGTTTGGTGTTGTTTGAGTCAAGTAAATGACTATGAATAAACTTCAAACTTTTTTAGAACTGCTCTTATACTTACACGAATACGATATTAAGACCGTTTTCCAGATCATTCATAACACAAGTATCAGAGTGTACAGACAAGGTGTAACTGCATCTTACAACTACTCCAGTTAACTCAAGAACATTAAAGTGCTCGTGTCAAGACATTCATCTTGAAAACTGCACTGCCTTGAATCCTTTTAATGGAATGGCACACGTCGACCTTCAATCGGTTCTTTATTTCTCGGATAAAAAATAAACGTTGCAATGAAGTTTGAGACAATATATAACGTTAAATCAAATGAATTTCTTTTCATTGCTGGAAAGGCCAGTAAGAATACTGCATGATAAAATCATTAAAATAAGTAAAATTACAAGGGCGCATTTTAGGAACCCAAATCTATCGGGGGTAGTAGATGACTTTGAGTGTTTTTTCCCAGAGATTTCTCGCCTAGGCTGTGCTCTCTGAAGTGAAAGAAGAAGTGAAGCGTGGAGTCTCAGTGATTCTTCTGTGAACCCAGAGTCATTGTAACTGATAGCTTTGTCTGGATTGTCATGCATAAGCCTTGTATGTCTCTTTCTGAGTAGCGGCTGGAGTAAAGTGAAAACTGTAGCACGTCCTTGTACTGATTCTTCTATTTGAGTTGTTTCAAGATTACGCTTGTATTTAGCTGTGTATGGATGGTTATCCGCAAGTGTTTCTTTTGCTATTTTAAGTGCTTGCTGCAATGACTGAATGGCTGAAGTATAGTCTCCCACATAACTTTGTGCTATCCCAATGTTATTGTAGAAACAAGCTGTGTCTGGGTGGTTATCCCCATGTAGTTCACGGAATATTTTGTGTGCTTGCTTGTGTGACTGAAGGGCTAAAGTATAGTTTCCCATATGCTTATGTATAACTCCAATGTTGTCATGGCTGAAAGCTACGTGTATGCTCTTCTCCCCATGTGTTCGACGTCTTATTTCAAGAGATCGCTTGTGGAGCAGGAGGGCTAAAGTGTAGTCTCCCAAGGTGTTCCCAACGTCTGCATAGCAGTCAGCTGTATGTGGGTGGTTGTCTCCAAGTTTTTCACGGCGTATTTTGAGTGCTTGCTGAAATGACTGAAGCGCTGAATCATAGTTTTCCAATTCCTGATGTGCAATTCCAATGTCTCTATAGCTGTCAGCAGTGTCTAGGTGGTTCTCCCCAAGTGTTTTACGTCTTATTTCAAGTGATCGCTTGTGTGATTGAAGGGCTGCAGTATAGTGTCCCAATTTGTTTTGTGCGATTCCAATGTCAGCATAGCTGTCAGCTGTGTGAGGATGATTATTCCCGAGTATTTTACGTCTTATTTCAAGAGCTCTCTGGTGTGATTTCAAGGCTTGAGTATAGTCTATCATTTCAAAGTGCACTTTTCCTTTTGAAAAGAAGCTGGAGGCTGTATCTCTGTGGTTCTCACCTAGTAGCGTCACTCTAAAATTCAGGGCTCGCTGGTGTGCATGAAGGGCTGCATCCAATTTACCTCTACTGAACTCTTCCTCACCAACGTCAAAGTAACAGTTGGCTTTTTTCATTAGTTGGCCTTCAAATCTACCAAGTAGCTCCTTTAGTGAATTATTCTGTGACCGAACACTTGAAGAATGATCATGAATAATCGTCGATACACGCTTGTACAACTGAAGAGATGACTGGTAATCTTTCAATAGTAATTCCTTCACTTTCTTTTCATGGGGTAAGTCGGCTACCTCCCCATCTTCTTTTGCCACTAACTGAGTCCTTATCGTCAGAGCATTCTCAAATGAACTGAACGCTGAACCGAACTGACCAACGTTAATTAAGGCGCAGCCTGTCTCGAGGTAACTTTCAGCTAATGAGGTGTGCATACAACCCAACCATTTCTGCCTTATTTCTAGTGCCTGTTGGTGTAATGTTGGGCTTCAATGTGGCGTTTCAACTCAGAAAGCATCTGCCCAAGCTGGAAATAACTTTCGGCCGTTCTATAGTGCTTCTTGCCAAAGTATTTCTCCCTGATATCTGCTGCTCTTCGATGCAGCTGAAGTGACTCCTCATGTCTCCCTTGTTTCCACTCTACCAGACCCAGCTGAAAGAGACTGTCGGCTACTGATGCGTGTTCTTCACCCATTTGACTCTTGCGGATTCCAAGAGCAAGCTGATGCATTTCAAACGCTGATGTGAAGTCTTCCTTGTGAATAAACACCTTCCCTAATTCGTGATAAACTTCGGCTGCTTCAAGGTCTTGTTCTTGCTTTAGACCTTTTCTAATCGAAAGTGCTCGGCTAAGAGAATTGACAGCCTCGTCAAAGTTTTCCATCTGACATTGCACGCGTCCTAACTGATAGAAACTTTGAGCAACCTCTGGATGCACCGAGTTGCCATGCATTGTCTGTCTCATGTTCAGTGCGCGAGTGTGATACTGAAGAGCGGAGGCATACCATCCCATTTCAAACTGCGTGACCCCAATTTCACAGCAACTGTTGGCAGTGTCAGTGTGCTGCTCACCTAATACTTCTAACCTCAAACGAAATGCGCGTAGGTGCGACTGAAGAGCTGCGCGGTTATCTTCTAGACAGAAATAAGTCTTGCCAATTTCGTGGTAGCTGTCTGCTGTTGCTTTGGGATGTTCTCCCATGACATGAAGTAAGATCCTTAGTGCGTTCTGATGCGAATCAAGAGCGCACTGGTATTTCTCCAGATACCACTGTGTAACTCCTAACTCATGATAACTGTTGGCGGTGTCTCTGTGTTTCTTACCAAGATTCTTTAATCGTATTGCAAGCGCACTTTCATGTGACCGCAAAGCAGAGGAATAGTCTTTCATTTTGGACTGTGTAACCCCTAATTCATGATAGCTAGCGGCCACGTTCAAAGGGTTTTGTTCAGCGAAATTTAAACGAATCTCAAGAGCACGCTTTTGAAACTGTAAAGCTGAATCGCAATCTCCAATAGTCCTGGAGATGATCGCAAATTCATGGTAACTGTCGGCGACATCTGGATGCTGTTCATCAAAAATTTCTCTTTTAATGTCCATTGCACGCCTTTGTGACCTGAGGCTTGAATTGTAATCTTGAACGCGGAATTGAAGAACAGCAAGGTAGGAGTAGCTTCTCGTCAATGCCTCTTTGTGGGTCTCCTTGCTGTCTCCAGCCATTGAAATTACATTTTCCTGATGACATATTGCAGCCTGAATTGATTCAATTGCTTCTTCGTATCTGGTCATCTCTGCGAGCACACCAACAACAAACCGATGAATATACAGTGAACCCACTTTTATATTCTCGAATGAGTTGCATTTTTCTTCTATTTCTTTCTTCATTTTGTTAACTTCGCGTTCAAATAATTCCATTGTTTTGGTAGAGGAGAAAATTTTGGTTGCCTTGGTTAAAAGAAAGTATACCTCCAACTCAAGCGGGCGATTTTCTTCATTAGCCATCCTCCGTTCGTCTTCTTTGATCTTAACGTTTTTGCCTGGTATATTGGGAATTAGAAAAAGGCCTTGTTGCTCTCTAGTTCCACATTCCTCTTTTGCATTCTCGAAAAATGTCGCCGCCTTATCAACGCATTGTATTGATTCATAATATTGCTCAAGAATCTGCAAAGTGAGGATCCTTAAGATCTTCTGCATTGGGTCAGCTATGTTTTTAAAATGCGCAAGAGAGTTTTCCAAATGTGTAACACCATCCATGATTTGTCCATTCGCGAGCTTGTGGATGCCAAGATAGCATAATAGTTTTCCTTTCTGCTCATCTGAATCGCAGGACAGAACTTCTTTTTTACTACATTGCAGCTGCTTTGTTTCCACTTCTTCTATTCCCCAAGTTACTTCACTGAATGTTTTTGCGAGAACCAACTCATTGTATGCAGTTGAATCTGTACTCTGCTTTGCCTCAGTTATAGCTGTATCATAGATCTTGTTAAAAGAGGCTCGGTCGCTCCATAAAACAGCGTCCATAAACAGCATCCCCTGTGTCAAGCCGTCAAAACAACTGTCGCGTGTTGAAATGTTTAAACAACCGTTGATTAAACTTGACATGATATTTTGTTTGTCTTCGTAGAAGTCTATGAAAGCTGACATAGACTGTCCAGAAAGGAAGCCATTGTTAAGCTCAGCGAAAAGCGAAATATAGAATTGAATAAAACGCGTTGTCGACCTTACAATGACCTCATTCATTTCTCGTGCTCCTTTTTGCCGTGCAAACAAGCGAAAAATATTGTGAACTTTGTATGGTTTGGATACAACGCAAGAATCTATAAGCGACTTTCTCTGAAGACTTTGTAGCGTCCGTTGAGCATCATGCGTTGATATTCCCCACACAGCTGCGGCAACCTTCTCATGAAACAAGCCAGGAATCACGGACAATGATACGTAAAATTCTTTGTTTTCGGGTGAGAGTATCTGGTATGATGATTCCAAGATGGCATTCAGTTTCTCTTCTTCTAGCTCGTCCTTATCATCCAATTTAGATAGATCACTTTCAATCAAACTGATAAAGTTGTCTATGGCTTGGCTTAACGGCAACTCATTTCGGGGCATGTTGTTACAAAAGAGCCTAATAGCAAAAGGCATATGTCCGCAAAACAGCGCCACTTTCCTCCAGTCTCTATCGCAACCTTCAGGAAAGAAATTCTGCACTAGTTTCTGAGAAAACACGTTGTCAACAGATCCTATTCTTACTAACTTTTGCCCTAGTGGTTTTAGTTTTCTACACTCAGATGATTCTCTGGCAGCAACCAAGATTTTTACACTGGCAGAACTCATTATAATTTGCTTAATTATTTTCAAAAAGCGGTCTCTTGATTTCCTTGTTTGCAATAAGCTGTCGGCGTTGTCTAGAGTAAAAAAAGGCGAAACAGAATCTTGAATTAAACTAAACTGTTTTAAAAGGAAATCGAGCGGCTGCAAGGGTCCCAGCGATTGGTCGCTAAAAAAACGCAGAATTGCTGATATTAGGTCATCCTCTGTGTTGACGTCAGCAAGGTCAATGTGGTAAATGGCCTTTCCCTCAGATTTGAGATTATGACCCACTGCTATTGCAACCTCAGATTTTCCAGATCCTGGTGGGCCATGGATGGAGACGACTCGAGTTAATGGAGATTTCAAGTGGCTTGCGATCTCTTTGATCTCTCTTTCGCGGCCAATAAAGTCACAAGCATTTGGTGGTAGACTAGGCTGACCGAGCAAAATCTGCGTGCCTTAAGAAGAAAAGGAAATGTTTCATTTAGTGCAATGTATCTTTATCGAAATATAGGGATCCTCCTGCAAGGACTAAAAAAAAATAGAGGAAGACCTTCATCGTCTTGACCACTGCTTATCACTGAATTAATATATGAAATAAACTTTATTGAATCATCACCCAACTCATCTTTTCTCCAAATAAACACTTTGGCTCGTCCAGCTAAGTCAACTTAGTCAAGTTGAGACAATCACCGCATGCCCTAGCCCCTTTGGCTCGGGCAAAGGGGTCAACTTTTCACCCATATAAACGCTCGCTAAGGTTTACTCGGCTGGGAGGGTGACCCTTCAATCCGGCCGCGACGGGTTTTAGCCATAACAACGGGGCCTTAGTGAAAATTGAAACAGTCTTCCACCATGTCTATATGTGATGTGTGGTGGGGATGAAACATGAAAATCATGTTTACTACTCCCCGCATCTGTTTTTTGGATTTTTCCTCAAACCGCTACCTTTTTGATGACGTCATATTGCAAAAGATCAGGTTTTTACTCCTGGTCAAACCTTGTTCACATACTCGACCACACTAATCATCTTAATTTGTGCTTACAAAAGGATCGATGGTAAATAAACATTGTAACTACTTGGTTTCCATTGGGGGGGGGGGGGGGGGGGGACCTTAAAACCTAATTTGCCAAACATTTAACTCTATAGAGTTTGTTGCCAATTTGGTACATCCAAATAGGCAGAGACGAACAACTGATTTAAACTATTGCAAAATGTAAGCTTGGTCATTTTTGTAATTATTTTTTGAAAGGAAACAAAAGTGCTTTTCAAGACGTTATTTCGTGTAGAATTTCTGCCGTAAAAACTTCTCCATAACATGCTCAGCTAAAGAGTAGTATTTATATTATTACTCAATAGAGTTCAATTTTAAGCTTCAAAAGGGAAAGTGTACCTGAATTTGTACGCTTTAACAATTCTTCACTGTGTTTCCGTAACTCGTCCTCCAGGCTCTCCACTCTCCCGCTTGTGGCTTCGACTGACACTGGAAAGAAAATTTAAAATGTACATGAGAGCTGTCCAAATAAATTTTAGCACATCTGACACTGCAATGGAACTACTTAATATCTTAATGAAAATGAATTCACAAACTTAAGGTCTCGGTAAAGGAAAACGAGGTGCCCAAAGAAAAAAATTCTAGTCGCGCGAGTATTTTCTCTACAAAGGCAAGTTATATATCAAATTAAAGCTAAAAGACTAAATTACCTTATAAAAGATTTTATTTCATCGAATTTCAAAAGGGACTTAAGTATTTTGCTCTCGAACTCAGAGGTATCGAGTTTACTGCTGAAGCTCCAGCCCTTTCGCGTTGTTAAATATTCACTTCCTTTTTATTGCATCTGATTGACAGATAAAAGACCTAAAAAAGTGTGTGAGGAATTTTCCGATTTCCCTTTGTAACTCATTTTATGTCAGTTTCTTTGCGTAAATCGCGCTCGAGATTCCACTTTTTAGTTTGAAATGCAATAATTCCGCTAATACGAGACATATGCAAATTTCCTCACACCCTTTTTTAGGTCTTTTATCTGTCAATCAGATGCAATAAAAAGGAAGTGAATATTTAACAACGCGAAAGGGCTGGAGCTTCAGCAGTAAAATCGATACCTCTGAGTTCGAGAGCAAAAAAACTTCAGCGCCTTTTGAAATTCGATGAAATAAAATCTTTTATAAGGTAATTTAGTCTTTAAGCTTTAATTTGATATATAACTTGCCTTTGTAGCGAAAATACTCGCGCGACTAGAATTTTTTTCTGTGGGCACCTCGTTTTCCTTTACCGAGACCTTAAGTCTGTTTTAACCTCTTATGTATCCCATGCTCTCTTAAATAACGTGCAAAATTCAGTCAACAAAAATTCAAGTCATTAAATATATACCTTTCAGTTCAGATACAGTTCCCTCAACTCTGCCAACTCTGTTTTCAACACCATCAACTATGTTCTCTATTCCATGGACTCTGTTTTGAAAACCATCAAATACGTTTTCAACACCATCAACTCTCTTTTCAAAACCATCAACTTTCCCTTCAACGCCACCAACTTTGTTTTCAAAAACGTCAACTTTGTTTTCAATCAGCTCCACTCTCTGCTTTATGTCTTCCAAAGCTGTCGAGCACCTTAGCAGTTCATCGACAACCTTCTTCTTTTCGTTCTCTGATTCTTCAGACATATCTTTTACAGCGTCTTTCAGTGATTCCACGTTTTGCTGAACCAGCTGAAGTAAATCCTGGTCCACAGGGGAGTTCATACAGAGGTAAAACCCTTTAAAACAAGGAGATAGTACAAAATGATGGGAGAGGAAGTTCTTTTCAGAGACATTCCGGTCATAACCGACAGACTAAATCTCTTTTAAATAGAAAAAGGTGGGGATGGGAAACAAAAAATGGGAAAAGCAAACAAAAGCACCTAAAAACCAAGTTTTTCATATGTTTTGTTTTCCGCAAATGCCAGAACCATTCATAAATGCCACAAAGCTTAGTTGTCAGTTGTATCATCAGCTTTGCAGATTTAATGTTCACTTGACTTTTCATTGGTCTACTGGCAGACAGGAAGCAGTGAAAACTCTTTGTCATGTTACCTTTTAAGTGCTTAAATAGTTTCGAGTGGTTATTAGTTCTTTTACCTTTTGTTTCCCAGTCGTTTAGTTCTCCAAGAAGCTTTGCTTCATCTGCAGCTGGTAAACCCAATTTTTGTATAAGATCTGCCATATCAGCAAAGACCTCCTGAAACTTGGCGACGTCCCACTTACTGAACATACAGTGCGCCCACTCATTCCTTACACGTCCTTTAACAACACCAGCAGCAGTTCGCACAACGCTTGAGAACACAGGAACACTCCCAAGCAATGTCAATACAGCTGAAGCATCACAGTGGTCATCGAAAGCGTTGAACTTGGTCATGTAGTTTTCAACGTACAACTTCGAAAAGTCAATATGAGATGATACTTTGCAGTCAAAGACGGAATAATTCCACCTTCCACCACTAAGCTTGGGACGAAAGTCGTTATTATTGATATTCTCATACTTCAGAAACTTATGCCAAGTTTTAAGACGAGCAGAAGAACTTTGTGAGTGAATTTTGTTGCTTGTCTTCAGGTTGTTGTATTCCTTTTCAACCTCTCGTTCAACAAATGGTCGGATCTGTGACACAAGGATCTTGTTGAGTGCTATTCCAACCACAAGCCATCGTTTTTGGTTGTCTGTCAAACCAAGATGACTCGATCTGAAGGAGTTAAGAGACAATTATTATTTGTAAAATATGACTATTAATTTAGGTAAAGTAATGAGGATAGTTGAAATGTGGGGCAACCTGTTTTAGAGCATTTTGCTTCTGGTCTCCATAGGTGCATGGCTTATCAAGTAAGTATTAGGTAACAAGTAAGTATTAATAAGTACGCCAACAAGCGAGCTTTTTACAATAACAATATTTAAAAAGTACACAAATATAAATACTGAATAAATAACGATTTAAAAGAAAGAGATAAACAGAAATATTAACAATGATTGTATGAATACTCCTCAAAATACAATTACATGCATCGCCCGTTTGTTTAATACGGCGACAGCAGTAGAGCCCAAAAAGTGAAAATTTCTACTATATAGAGACTCCTTGTAGTTTAAATATAAAGCTCACTGCTTTGTGTGAAGTGCTTTATTTAAAAGTCAACTTAAGAAAATCAGAATCTCTTCTCTCTTTTAAAAAACGGCAGCAAATTTAGCTTTAAATATCTCCAATATCAGTTACATATCTGCCATAAACAAACCTTGCGGCAGCAAATTTTGAAGGCGTTGTAACAAGTATCCTGGCAAGGATGAATAGACCGAGTCACAATAGTTCAGCTTTGATAATAAAAGAGACGCTGCAGGTCTCTTAGGCAGGTGAAAGTCTATAAAGTGCTTTACGCAGTGGCGAAACAATGGCGATGTCCTTGACATGACTATCATCCCATTTTAAGTTTTCTTGGAATTTCGCTCCCGGCAGTCTTGTTTCACTGACTCTTTCCAGTTGACGATTCGAAAAATTGCAAGTTAAGGTTTTGGTCTTTGAGACCATGAAATCAAGGCAACTGGCTTGTTGGTAAGAGAATCGATTTAGGTTTTACTGGATTTGGGGCGAGATTTAGTTTAAGAGCCAGTTTCTGTAAATATCGAAAATCCGGCGACAGTGTCAAAATTTTCACTTTCTTCATATTTTGCTCAAATAAGGCCTTAAGTGAGTTATTTTCGAAAATACAATTAAAATTTTCAAAATCGACGAAAGTTTGAAAATCGCCATTTTGGCCTCCCGCCGCCATTGAAAATTGACAAAAATGATGCATTTTCGTTTCGCTCGTGCTGGTAAACGCGATAACATCTAGCAATGTATTTTTGACATTTCATAACACTTCACTTGCTCTTTCTAAAACACTAGATTACTTTTGAAAAGCTGTCAAAATAGTCTTGTTCTGGCCGTTTTAGTTACCCCACTTGAAGCGCTTGAGCGACTAGACTAATTTTCGCTCGTAAGGGTTTGCGGTATTGCGGTATTGGGTTATTTTTGGTGCGGTTTTGCGGTAATTTTTTTTTCAAAGCACGGTAATGCGGTTTTCAAAGTCCAAGCGGTACGCGGTAATTTTAAATTTTATGTAGCGGTAATCGGTGAAAAAATTGTTGTCTCGCGGTGATCTGCTTCCTGAGTCCTTTCTTTTTTAAAGCATGACAACTATGCAATCCTAAAAGGAGTCCTAAAAGGTCTCCCTATCTAGCCTGCGTGACCTGCGTGTCTTCCCAGTTGCACAGTCGGGGACCGTATTGCGCAAGCAGTCCAGACAAATCGTATGGCTTGTAATTTCAGTTAATACTTTATATGATTAACGACATTAACCTTTTTATCCAATGATACGGTAACATGTCGCATTATTTTATGACCTCATTGACCTTAAGGGAATAGTCGGCTGGGCTAACCTTATCGGACCTTTTCGACCTTATCGGTTCTTCCATGCCAGTCGTGAAACAATGGCGAGCGATCACGAAGATCAGTCAGTTAATCCAGCAAATAGCGAGGTGGTAATAAATTGCGTATTTTTTTTTTTTACGAAGAAGGAAAAGGGGGGGAAAATTACAGGAAAAAAAACAAGTTCCGTTGTTTGGTGAAGCGAGGGGAGAAGAGGCTGGTAAAATTCAGGGAAACCGTTTGGTAAGTACTATCTTCTTATACTTAATCCTATCCTACCTTAAAAGTAGATCGCTTATCGACATTATCCTGTCCTTCAGTCCACTTAAAAAAATACTGATAGTTATCGGACCTTATCGTTTATGAGCTTCACTGAAAGGCCACCAAAACGCTTCAAATTCTTCAAATGACCAGCATGACCCAAAGACCCAAATATTTTGTTGGATCATCGATGACCAACAAGCTTGAGTTTGGTGGTATAATGTCTGCAATGATCTAATCCTGTGGTAAATAGTGCGAAATTTATTTTTACTACTAACCGCGAAAAACGAACAACTGCTTGGCGTCCTTGACTGTTTCAATATAGGTTATAATATAATAAAGAAATGAAGCAATTGAGATTACCACGCCATTGCACATCTGTCCACATCTCAGTGTTACTATCTATTATTAATTATTAACTTTGCCCTTTTTATCTTAAACCAACTAAAGATCTGTAAGAAATATCCACTTGAACATCTTTCTAGCTAGCATCTTCAGCTTTTACATTTTTTAGAGACAATGAAATTTTTCAACCATCTAAACTTTTCAACGAAATTTTTCAACGTTCTAAACTAAGAGACTGTAATATTACTTTTCACTTATTTTTTGATCTTTTTTTGCTTTGTAAAATGATGAGGGTGGGTGTCTGAACACAACTGCAATAAATTAGGGATTTAACTTTATATTTTCTTTTACCAGTGAATTTGTTGGAATAAGGCAAACAGCAAGGGCTCTTGGACTGGGAGAAAATGTGGCAATATCGTTAAACAGGTAGGCTTCAGTCGAAAGTCCCAGAATTAGTACATGTATTTAAGCCATTATACATAGGATCCTATAGGTTGACAGCCCCAACAGGTTCTATTCTTTGATTTTTTTCAGTGAAATTCGGTCGTTTGAAAAAGGTCTGATTTCACATAACAATTTTCCAAAAGGAAGTGGAATTATATCATGGTGTTTTTTTTTTCTTTACCTTTTCATCCATATGCATTCAAAGAGAAACTAAGCAGGACAGCAGGACAGAGCGCATATCAATCGAAACAGATCGCCAGCTAGATCTGGAACTACCTTCGATAGAAAATGGAACTGACAAATTACAAAGTAAGTATTTTTAAGGAATTCATCAGCATTGCCATAATTTTCTGTCGATATTAAGGTAGTTATTGCGAATTCAATTTGGGCTCAATCACTGTCCTCATCAAACATTTTTTTTTGTTCATTTCAGTTATTGTTTATCCAGTCAAAACAGTCTTCGCAACCAACAGCCCCACCATTATAATTAAAGAAACCAGTACTGGCAGGGATCCTGGAAAGGCAGGGTCAAAATCATCAGGACCTTCAGTACCAAGTTCCTCCCCAGCACTAACGGAACACGAACAGAAGCAGCTGAACGAAGGTACTGATACTCATAACTATCGGCTTTTCAATGAAACGCCAAAGAGATTTTAAAATGTCCAATTTATATTTACGTCAGTCCTGTGAAATGCTATCTGCTCAGTTCTCCATGGACTTACCATTATTCAAATGGTACCGCTTTAACAAAGGTTCGAAATATTAGATATATTATTAATATTGGTCTACTCAGAAGTTTTATTTACTTTTTTTGTTGCTAGAACTATCAAAGAGAGAAAATAGTAATCTTTTTAAGTGTGACACGCACAATGAGGCCAGAGTAAGGGGAAAGGTCGTTATTTGGCCGTGGAGAATCAGGTGTGGCATTTGCACCAGAAACGTACAGCTACGATGTGACTCAGATCTGAAGGGACGGATATCATATTTTGATAGACGTAAGTTGTTCATTGTCATAAACAGCAAGCCATAGCCAAATCTGCTGGTTATTTGACCATTATTGCTTCAATTTAGTATCGATTGCTGGAAAAATGCCCAGACGAAAGCTGTAAACAAAATTATTTTGGGGCTGTCTAGAGTGATTTTAAAACTCCTCCCCTCATTCGTTCGGTAATTCAAGAAGAGCTCCATTTTAATCCAGTCGGTCATCCTACAGGTCCTACAGCGACTTAAGCTTTTCAGAAATGCATTGACTTTCTATTATTTTCCTGGAAATTTAAGTGATTATTAATGGTAACGCGTAAGAGTTTGTTTGGAATATATTTGTCGTAATTTATCTTTTTTAAGCGCGTTTTCATATATATAACACACGGCATTTTAAGGAAGTGAAAAGTAGGGAAGCAGATTTGCCTCATTTTGAAAACGTATATGATTTGCCGCATAGCAAAAATATCGAATATTATTTACTCGTATCTAACAATACTTTTAATTTTCCAAGATCATTTTACCAAATGCAAACAAAGCCGAGATGGTCAAGGTTCTGTCCAAGACGCCAGACAAAAGAACATCAAAGATTTTTTACAGGGAGTGAAAAGAAAAGGGGAATCAGCTAATGCATCTAGGAAAGGGAAGATTCAGAAGAAGACAGAGGAAGAAAGTACCGAAATTGACTCGGACATCGATGCTTCTGACCTCGAACAGTAAATATGTTTAGCTATTTACACTTTCGAGTATTCCATTATATTAATATAGAAGGCCTTTGTCATTGAGAGACAGACTTGAACAACCAGGCATGTACATGTCTGCTGCCACTGATATTATTAATCTACATCGCTGAGGGAGCCACTGAATGGTCCTTACTTTTAATTATTATTGTCATATGATATTTAATCTGATGTGTGGTACAACCCACGTTGTTAATCTTGTATGTTGTGTACTGTAATATGAGTGTGGCGAATTCAGCGGAAGTAATAAAAACCCAAAGATTGTTTTCGTCTAGGTCCTATGACTCCAGTAATGAGGAAAACGATTCTGTCGATTCTATATGCAGCGGCGAAGGAGACAGTGAGTCCGACTATGATCAGAATAGTGACGAGGAGGACTGCTTCTGTGTTGCATCCGATACTGAAAGGTGTGGTCTTGACGATGAAATCGATAGTCTTGATGGGGATGATCTTTATGCTGTGCACGTAGGTGTTGAAACCGCGGATCCATTATGTGTTAAGCTGAATGATTTAATCAAAAGAGGAAAAATCCCAAAGGAAAGAATATTGTACAGATACTTAAATGACGTCGTAGAAATAATGTACAACCCATTTCACAAATATGATCCCGAAGTCGTCGAGTTTTTAATACCATCACCTACCTTGGTGGAAAGCGCACAGCTAATTTCATTAGAGGGCCTATGAATGTAGGGGATGGGCGGCACAGCCACCTCAACCACGAACAGGACAAAAAAATCAACCTGGGTGGACCATCCGAATCACTTATTCAAAAGTCCCAAGCAGGATACAATCCGGAATCCGGTGTCATCAAGCCGCTATCCTTAGGACATATTGAACTTCTGAAAAACTCTGAAGCCAAACCTCTTATCAAAACCGCCAATCTTTTGGTAATTCCTTGCGCCCTAGCAAATGATGGGACAGCACTTAAACCCGCGATTGAATTTGACGCGCGCCTCAAAGAAAACGTGGGTTTGAAATTTCCAGTTGATTTAGAATACATTAAGAAGAACCAGAAACCATCCCCCGAACATCTTAGAGACAACATTATCACAGAGGCAATTGTCTCATCGCTCACGTCTTTAGATAACTTCTGTTCCCTACCCGTGGCTGTAGACTACTCAACACAGTCAGGGAAGACCGGTCAGACTATGTCAAGCCTTTTTGAGGAACACATCAAAACGTTACAGGTTTGCCAGGCATGCCAAGAAAGATTGCCAGGTCGACGTCATATTATTTCATCCAATCAAATAAATTGCACCAGTTTTTGCCACACATGCTACGACGCAAAAACAGTGTGTCCTAAATGCAAGGTGGCAGGGCAAGTCAGTTATGTACCTTCATTAAGAGCTTGTGATGCATGCCTTGGGCGAAACATTGTTTGTACTCGGCGAGTGGTAATGGTGTTATGTAGCGACTGTGAAACAGGAAACAAAAATGCTTTTGAAATATTGAATGAAAAGCTCGAAAAAGGTGTTATAGATCCCTACCTGGAGTTTTTAAGCATTTTGCCTGATTGTCCACATGTCGGTAAAAGCATGAAGGCGGCTTTTTCAAATTGGTGGCTAAAATGCAAAGATGAGAGAATCAACTTGGGTCTTCTAAGAACTGTGAGAAATCGCTCCGACAAAGCCACCAAGGATTGTTTCAGAAAACTTATACCAAAAAACGATCATGTGAAAAATAAGGACCGACAGGACCCTTCCTCCGTCCTCACTTTAAGTGCTGAGAACTTGACCGACGCATTGAAAGACATTGGATATGTATGCCACACTATCGTACCCGAACTGGACAAATACTCGGCTGACAATCAACGTGGCATGTATCCATGTCCAATCAGTATTGCCGTACCATCATATGGGTGGATTGCCTTTCTTTCGTTCGATGCAAAGAATGGTAGTTCTACCCTGTTCAAAGCTCGTCTTCACAGTCCCGTCGACAAAATCACTGTTCTCAGCAAAAACCTCAAGGTTAAACAGATCCATTGCTCTGACGGTATAATATACCTAACTTCCGACAAAGGACCTATCAGGGCCATTGAATTCTCTGAAGGAACAATCAATATGATTTCAAAGGAAAAGAAAAGAAAAGATGACCTTGTCAACTTGGCAAGAAAACTTAAAGTGTCACCGGTGGGGACTGTTGCTGAAATTTCGTCGAGACTGAAGAAGTATTTCGAATCAGTCAAAAATCAATATCAAGGAAAAAGTGCCAGAAGTGACGAGATTAACTTCTGGGACAAGGAAATACAACCCAGCTTTGAGGCCATGGTTTGTGTGGCCAGTGATTTGATCTATGCAGCTGAAGTTACAAACAAATCAATCGTTTCCATCGAAGTCGAAAGGGACGGAGTTGGTCTCAAGGGGAATAATCTCCAAAGAATTGTTTCTTACGGAAACACATGGGGAAAGGTTTACAGTATGTGCCTCAGTAACAGAAATCTGTTTGTATCCCATGTCCAGGGAATAAGCATGATCAACATGGAAACCAGTGAGTGTCAGTTAGCCGTGAAGCTTGACGATGAACCTTGTGTTCTTACAAGGTTTAGCACAGACGTCCTATTCACAAACCAGAAGAAGTCTTCAATATGGCAACTCAGTGGCAATGGAAAAGAGTTACGTTTGTTTGCTGGCTCTGACAAAGAAGACGGAAATATAGATGGGCCTATCAAAGAATGTCGCTTTAAACAACCAGTAGGCATTTGTACAGAGTTCGATGGTGTTGTGTATGTTTGTGACGCACAAACGAACTCAATAAAGATCTGCACCAAATTAAAAGAGTGTGCCCACTTTCTTAGTGCAATTGGCTGTTTGTATGAAGCTTTCTCTGTGCATCAGAAAGGTGCACAGTATACTGTTAAGACAGGAGAGGAAGCTATTGGTCTTGTTAGGCAATGTAGAAGGATGCTTGACGAGAATACCTATGATATTCAAGAAACCACTGGCATTACAAGAAGTCTCAATGGACCTCAAGGCCATGTGTCGGCCAGGACAGTAGCGTCGGTTTCCATGATAGAAAAAGGGCTCCAGAGATTGTACACTAACCTTGAAAATTTTGATTACGAGAATACACTAAATCTTTTGAGCTGTATGACACTAGATGTGGAGAACTGTCACGCCACCGTACATGTAAAGCAAGCAAACATGTCAATGGCAGAATACTGCAGGTCATTTGGCTTGGCAATGAAGGAGGCAGTGAAACGGGTGACCTCTTGGGCTGCATACTACCACACAAGCAGGCGATCTTGGTACCCCAAACCAGAGGGTTGTTTGCAACTATCGCAGGTTCCTATCATGAAACCTCTACCTAGTGTCAGTATGAGCTCAGCCGACTGCAACGCACTCAGGGACTGGGCATCCTCCTATGGAGCTGCCGTAAGACAACGAACGGTACGCCAAGAGACTACCATGGCAAAGCATGGCACGCTCCCTGAGTTTATGTACCAAAGACAATGCAACATCTCAGAGAATCCTGTATCTATTGCCTTTGATGAACGCGTTAACAGGGTAGAAGATGCCAACGAAAATAATTCGGAAGAAGACGAGAGTGACGCCGAGTTTGATGAAAGCAGCGATGAAGATGTTGAAGATCATGGTCGGGAAGAATCGCTTCTTCAAGGAGAGATCGGAAGCTCGGCCACGTTTCTCCTGGGAGCCAAGACTCGATTCGGGAGAGTTGTTAGATTTAACAATCGTCTGCTCTACTGACCACAGAAACGCAGTAGCTGGGTCGTAGACTGGGTCGACGTCTTGAAAACCTTTCAACACAGAACAGTGTCAATTATGAACATGAAACAGCCTCATAGGAGTCAACTGTTTTCCGTCAGACTTTATGATCCAGGTTAGAAATAAGGTTAGTAATAGTAATATGCCTGTTGTATCATTTACGTATAAACGTTTAATGAACCAAAACGAGTGCGACGGTCGTATGTTTATCTTATGCTTACCACCGACGCACCTTGATTTGGAAACACTGACATAAAAATATTATTGCTATTTAAAAGGCGGAACTGTTAGTCTTCAGAACGGCAACTTTTCGCCATTTGTTTCGATTTCGGTATTTGGGTAAATTTTTACGCGGTATTGCGGTTTTCTCTCTCTACCATGTGCGGTATTGCGGTATTCTCGCGCTACCACGTGCGGTATTGCGGTATTAGTACCCCCCTTACGCCCCCCTCTTCTACGCCACGAAAAGCCCACTGGTACAGAGAATTTAAGGCCAAAACTAGTATGGTCTTAAAGCACATCCTTTGTACTTTGTTGTGTGAAAATTTATTCCGCGGCCCGCAAAAAGTGTCCCGTAGAGAAACGGAAACGTGAAGACCATTTTGCCACCTAAATCAATTTACGAGGCAACATGTTTCTCTACATACCTACGCAAACAATTTAAAAATCGCTCTGGAAAACCTTCTACATGTTTCTTACCGCTTGAATATCGGACAATAGACACATATGTCACTGTTACCTTTTGATTTTTATCTCATTGAACCGAATAAGAGCTAAAAACGCTTCCATTGCCGACTCGTGTATGTCAACACCGAGTTAATATTATCAATGTAACCATTTCAGCTTCGGTTCGTTCCACAACAGGGATTCTATTTTTCTAAGCTTTCATTTCTTTTAATACCATAAGTTTATAAGTTTGTAATAATCTGTTTGATCGACCATCTCCCGAAACAAAGAAACTGTGAGTGGTTTTATTAAAGCTTTCAGCTTTGCTTTCAGAGACATTTTAATTTGTAACATTACATTGCGTGACCAATTCGGTCACCCCTTTGACATAAAAAAACTTCATCGGGAAGCATATGAAATGACTTAAAACGAAGAACAACTGATATTTTAAAATTAAGGCTGTTATCTGATTAGACGAGCAGTGGGAGAAAAAGTCGTAAAACTTAAATTCGATGAGAGACAAGCGCTGCGGCAGTTGCAACAGTACACTGAACATTACGGTTCCCACGGCAGTACATTTTCAAAATCTTGATTTTCAATTCCTCCTCGTTCTAAGGGATTGCGGCAAACTATTCACTTGAAAAAACTTACTAGCGTTTTTTCCAGTTCATCTACTTGACTTTCATTTGTCTGGAGTAGTATAATGTATCACTCGTCGAGCAAACGTCGCGCAACCGTACGCCATCGTGACTAAACAAGGTATATTTTTAGGGGGTGAGGGGTGGGGAAAAAAACTGCGCCCACCAAGGTCGATAGACTACGAGTAGTCCCCCATTTTTCCTCGGGTGTCGCCTTTTCTCGCGTGGGGTGATTTTCGCGCGCGCTCGCGTTTCGCACCCTCTACTATCCCTGAGGAAAAATGGGGGACTACTCGTAGTCTACAAGGTCGACTTCGCCATCACTAAGGGACGGCCCATTAGAAAGTGGAGGGTGGGGAATTTTCGAGCTGCAGGAATTTTTTTCGTTATCAGATTCATTGTATGATTTTTTTTAGGCCATAGCATAAATATTTTTTAAGGGTCAATTGGCGTGTATGAATTTTTTTTTTTCATTTAATTTTCCCTTGCGCGAATATTCTTTTAGTACTTCACCCCCGCCCCCCGCGCCCTATAAGTTTTCTAATGGTCCGTCCCTTCGGTAGATAAAGAAAAGCTATAGAAAACTTTTAAAACAAAGTGAATTACAGTGACAATGTTCATTGAAAAACAACATTTGAATCGTACCATTAGAAAAGTGTTGGGGGGAGTTTCTTTCGTTAACACTTCTCTTGAATGAATTTATTTAGGCCAGTGCATAATTTTTTTTAGGTTTTCTTTCTTATTTTGTGCATGAATTTGTTTTATTTAATTTTCCCTTGCACGACTATTCTTTGTACTTTTTTTGTCCCCCCATAAGTTTTCTAATTGCTCGTTACTAACCCGGAGGTTACTAAGTTAGCAGACTATTATCGGAGACTCGCGCAGAGGACTGAGGGCGATTACTACAGGAGACGGTAATGTCCCATCATCCTGGGGCCCTGATTTTACTTCGAGGTAAAAAAAAAACACTGTCGGTTGGGTGTCGAGCAGTTCGTTTACCAGGGAATTCAATAGTACGCTGCTCCTAGTACGCTCCGGAGCTTCTAGTACGCAGCTCCTCAAATTTTAGGTATTCAGAGAAAAAACACAGGGTCCGACATGGGGTCAAAAATGAAAAGGTCGATTAGCAGAATTCTGGGACATAGCATGACTTGCGAGAGGTCCTTCAGTAAGCATAGGCGTAAACGATCAGTTCCCTTAAGAGGACAATCCGGCCTTCGTATTTTTTGTGCTCACAGGTTCATTATGAGAGGTCAGACTGCCGTTTATACCCTTGTTCCTTTGATTTTTCCTTCACTCCTTTATTTTACTGTATCTGTTCAGCTCCTGGCCTGTTGTTATAATTTGTTTTAATACTGAGATCTTTATCAAGCAAATATAAAGTGTTGATCAGATATACCCGTCAAGAGAAGTGTCAATGCTGGCTGAACTATACGTTCCTGCATTTGGAGCACTTGTGTGTGTTCGGCGGCTAAGGGGACCCGAGGGCGTTGTAGTTGTTACGGATTTTTTTTAACGCAGCTCTCTAGATGAGGGTTGTGGGGTTCTATTTCTGTTGGTTTAGACAGCCAGCAGAGCATCTGCCAAGCGACGCTCTTGATTCAGATTATTCATTTACCTATCTTATTCCCTACTAGTCGCTTTAATCAGTTACTCAGCTTGGACAGCGAGAGCTACTTTTTTATGAAAGATGCTGGTCATATACTGAGGGTGAATGTGGCTGAAAGAAGAAGAAGAAAATAGCACCCCACCCCCACCCCCCGTCCCCCAATTCGAACCCAGAGTTCGTAAGCTGTTTATGCTAGATATTGCATTCACTACTGTCAACCCGCTGTTATTTTACGTAACGTTCTAATCACTGTACTGGAGGCTACTACCGGTGCAAACTGTTGTCAATCAACAGAATTGTACTAGCGTGCGCAGGGTTTGAGCCACAAAAGGCTCATTATTTGAATTAAAAAGTGGGTAAATGCTTTCATGCTTCCTCTGTATGGTGAATGAATTGCCCCCTAGGTTCTTATTTTACAAAAATGAAAGCACAGCGGAAGATACAGGAAAAAAAATTTAGTCTAGCTAGGTTTCAGTCAGTAAAATTCAGATGAAACACAGCATGAAAGACCGTGGCATGCATGCTAGTACTTTGGAAAAATACATTAATTATTGTATGGTTATCATGTAAACTGTATTCTAGATAATTATTTAATACAGAAATATATTCCATATCACATATGTGCTGCAATGGTTATCGGTGCTAAGATAAGCTTTATCCTCTCTTGTCGGGCTGATCGCTATGGTGCCCTTATCAAATTAAAAACCTATTTAAGAACCTATTAGATAGCCTAAAGTCCCACTAAATACCATTTCTATAAGAACTGCGGGTTTTTTCTATATGACAGTTGAGGAATATCACTCGCCCGTGCGTTTTTTTTCTCGTGGAGTATGGTTCACCCAGGCTGTGATTCACCAAGAAAAGCGTGGTCTGCTCTGCTCATTGCGGAGCACCTGTTAAGGAATCCGATGGCAGCCGAACATTAGTCTGCATAAAGGCTCTATCAGTTTTCGCATTTTTCAGGCAAAGCGAGCGCAGGAGCGCCAGACACTAGTGATGGTGAGGCGCTTCCTGAAAAATGCAAAAAAAGGAAATAACTAAATAAAATAAAACGCCTCTTACGCAGGAAGGCTAGACACACAAGCTAGGCGTCAAGAGCCATTATGGCTCTTGCTAGGCGTCGATTGTTTCCTTCACGTGAAATAATGGCTGCAAATGATTGGAAGAGGCCAGGAAGCGGGAGCCTTCAAATTTCGCTCGGCCGAAGAGGTAAATTTCCTCTCCCAGTACTCCTCTTATTTTTCTCGCTTGAAGGATTTAGGAGAAGAGGGGCCTGCTCATGGGTTATTCTTTTCTGTGTTCCTTTCTTCTCCGGGTAAAATGTCCTGTACCGATCATTTTAATTTCTATGGTATGCGAAAGTGAATTTTTAATCAAAAGATTTCAGTGTTCGCACGGATCCGGAGCTTCGCTTCTGGCTGAACATATCCCCACCCCTCACCCCCTTAGATAGAACCTCTGGTTAAGTCGCTGATTGCGTACGTTTGCGCAAAGTTCAAGGTTGATGGACGAGAATTACTTTCATATACCAATACCAGACACTGGTAAGGTTTTTAGAGTAGATTGTTTCCCGCAATCACTCAGAACAAGGGCGATCCAAATGAAAATCAAAATTTAGCCTGCGTAGCATGGCGGTTTTGTCGAGCCGGGCGCAGGGCTAGGAGCGGCGTAGAGAAAAATAGTTGCTCCCGTCTCAATCTCCTCGCGGTTTCTCTGCTCTCGCCCGCCTTTATTACTTAGCCCGCCCAACCAAAACCGCCATGCTACGCATGCTAATCAAAATTTTGAAAATGTTCTCCCGTGGGAACCGCCCGGGGGGGTACTCCCATACATTACCTATACGGGTATGTGCCGCCCAACGGGGTCGTGATTTTGAAGCCCCCGATTTAGAACGGGGTATCCATTTCAGAGGCGTTTAGGGGTAGGTTTATAGGGTTTCAAGGGGTGACCGAATTTGTCACGCAATATAATGTTACAAAATGTCTCTGAGAGCAAAGCCCACTCACAATTTCTTTGTTTTGGAAGAAGGTCGATCAAACAGCTTATTACAAACTTATAAACTTGTAGTA